AATATATTTAATAAGTGAATATAAAAAATATTTTTTAAGTTTGTATATATATATATATATATATTATGAATTTAAGTATTTATATACTAAGATAGAAAATATATACATCATGTTGTCTACTTTAGATCAAGCAATGATCTTAGCTTAATAGTTGGATACATGTTTAGTTTCCTAAGTGACCAAGGTTTGAATCTTTTTTCTTCAATTTGCTATACTTTGTTTTCTTTCAACAAGAGGGTGACACATGTCACTCTTTGATTGAAGGAAATAAATATAACTCTTTGACTAGTAGAGATAAATATATTTAATTAAAATAAAGTTAGTCCTCTAACCAAATAGTGACAAGTGGAATGACATGTGACAACATTCGATTGAAGGATTAAATTTATTTTAATTTACTAAAAGTAAAACTAAATTAAGAAAATATGTAAACAACAGAGACCAAATGTGTGATTATATCAAAATATTTAACTGTTGTTCACGACAATTAACTCGGATGACCACATCTTAGTTAAATAAAAATGAAAGTGATCATTTCTTATGTTTTTTTGAAATCAAAAACTAAAAATGGACAAAACACAAACATAAGTGATCATCCGTGTAGTTAATCCTATTAAAGAAAATAATTTAAGCGTTGGAAACTAGAAGAGATGCCGAGGAAATCTAACTGAGGGGGTGATCGATTGAATAGACAAACTTAGGTTGTTCATTGTTGTATGTTCCCTTATCAAGAAGGTTTGGCCCTTTGATGACTTTTACTGTTTGTTTGGATGTGTGATTGGAAGATCAAGAGGGAATCTCTTTATTTGGTATAAATCATCATTTTGTTTCAAAGGCTATATTTATCGTTAATACATTTTTGTGTGTCTAAATTATACTTTAAATAAAACATCCCAAATTACGGGTTAGTAGTTTCGGGTTTACTCGAGAAGTAAGTGGATCATGTGAAATTATAAATTAAGTTATTGGGCTTAATTGGGTTGGCTTTGGGGCCCTATTAGTCATACAAATGGAATTTTTGAATATAAGATAAAATGCAAAGGACCAAAAGTGCAACTAGACCATTAAAGATTTTGGTAAGAACATCTTTCTCTACTCCTTTTGACTTCGAATATGTTTCAAACTCATCCTATAACCCTTGGTATGCTAAGGATCTTGTCTTCCTTTTTGGTTTGATGAAAAATGGTGGAAAATCAACCAAAGTAAAAAAAAAATAAGGGTTCTTGATAGAAAAAAGAGCTTTATTTCGGATTTCTAAATTCAAGGTAGCGTATTTCTAATCCTTTGGAGTATTAAGGTTTCATAAATCTATGGTTTTTGCTAAGATTTGGTGATTTGAGCATTTTAGGGTTCATCTGTGATTTCTCAACCAAATCACGCTTTAGGTATTAATAATATGTTTAAATGATGCCTTAAGACGCTAAATAACTTGCTAAAGCTTTTAAATAAGTTTAGAAACTAACACATGTCGTTTGGGGTGATTCTTGAGTGATTCCCAAGCTCAAGCAAGTCATTCCGAGGAAAAGGATCGATCCCTCAACCAAATGGATCAATCCCAAAGTTTCTGTCCATTAAAGGATTAATCCCTTTTCAAAAGGATCGATCCCCTCGGGACAAATGATCGATCCCTTGGAGAAAAGGATTGATCCCTAGAAAGAAAGGATGGGGCTTAATACGTATGAATATGTCAGATTCAATACTAACAAAAAGTATGGGGCTTTAAGAACATTACAAGAGATATCAGATAAATAGTACGATGAAAATGTCAGATTCAATACTAACAAAAATTATGGGGCTTCAAGAACGTCAGTGAATTGGGAATGGATAAGTTGTTCCACTACTTCAAGGGTTTTGGGAGACGTATGATAAGAGCGTTAGGAGTGTTGTTACCCAGTAATGAACCTGAGTCAGATACTGGGGTAACTAGTGATTCAGTCAGTGAATAACAAGCATAATCGACAAAAAATCGTGAAACGCTTAGAGATCTCTCTGAAGTCAAAGATGACTAAAATACCCATTAAGTGCTAATTAGCCTTACCTTAACGTCCTAGGTGAGAGGACGAGCAAGATAGTTCAGGTGAGAGGAAATGGCCTCACCTGACTTCAACAAGATCAATAACGAGTAACTGAGCTACTTTGATTTCCTTAGAGGGGCATCGGCTAACGTGTGTTAAGACGTTATCTTTAGATAAAGACTTATAATAATAATAATGAGATAATAATAATTTTGTGATAACCATAAGAGCCTTATGAGGTAAGATTCCATAAGACTTATGCCCTTGTGTGCAGCTTGGGAAACGGTGAGGACACCCAAGTTACTTTACCAGTAAGACGGTCGCCTTGTGTGCATAGAATATTCGGATATATCCAAGTCAGTGCAAGATGCACTTTAGTCGCTAGTTGAACGTGGTATTGATGCTATGTAACCATTACACGTTCTGAGTACTTAAGATGAGTAGATTAGCCAGGCAAGGTGCCGATGCTGTGTGACCCGAACCTCGCCTGAGATAATTGAGAGATGTTGATGCTGTGTAACCCATGTCTACCCAAAGTACCTTTATTAAGCAAACAGAGGTGTGAGTTCTATGATGTTATTTGACCTCGACCTACACCACGATGCTTACTTATTGTTGACTGATATTATCAGCGTCTCTGTGATACCGGGTATCATCATTGTGTTTGGCATGGTGATGCATTATAAAATGATAATGAGGTTAGAGACTTAGTACTTGTATACTCATGGCAGGACCCTTAGCGAAGACTAAGGGAAACATGAGATGTAGATTCGAGTGATAGAACTGAAGGACTTTACGCGGGTAGCACTAATTATAATCATGCTTGTACCTACTGCTTAGTACTATGTCTCTTACATGCTTTAGTTCATGAAATTCTTATGTTGCTCTAGATTAACGATTATACTGTTGAGCTTTGTAAGCTCAGCTTTCGGATGCTTTTCGTTGGCAGGTCTGTAGCTTGAGCAATTCGTGGAGCATCGTCACCGCAAGACTTCCAACATCTCTGACAGATTATTGTATTGTAGCTTTAGTGGACATGTGTATTCATAAAACCTTACTTATGTATTTGAGTTGTAAACTTCAAGATGTATTATTTTGAATTAACTCATGCGTCTCGGAGCTCTGGTTTTGTAAAATGTTTTTATAACAATTGTTTATGTTTTATTTTGATACCATTCAGTACATTTCAAAAGAAAATGAACATGTTTTGAGGATCAGGGGTTGCCTCGGCAGCCCGGTGTGGCAATTTAGGTCCAATCGGGTTTAGGGTGTTACATTAAAGTATGATTTAGTACTTAAAGAATTGTTTACTAATAATAGGTGTCTAACGTTTTCTCTATTATATTTTTAGGTACTTACTGTTATATTTTTAATCTTTTAATTTTTGAATAATAAAAATATTATTTTAAAATTTTGTAAAGCTTAATTTATTTATAAAAACTCAAATATTTATGAAATTACAAAAAAACTCTAAAAATAAAATCTCTCATTTCAACCCCTATTAACAACCGCCGTCGATTATCTCCGACCACTATCATCATTGTCGAACGGTCACACACCCTTCGCCGTCTATCTAGTGATCAATCGTCGCCTTTACCGTCACCCCAATCCCCTAAATCTCTAAAATCCTCAATATCCAAATCCATAATTCTTTAAAACCCTATTTCTCAATATCAATTTCCACGACCATGCATATTTAAATTTCCAAAGGATTTAGTATTTAACTTTGTAATGGAGTTTTGATTTACATACGGCCAGCTCCATTGATTCTTGTGCTCTGTTGTGGAAGGGAGAAGGGACGGGGTTGAGATTTTTTTCAAAAGGTTTTTAAAAAAATATATTTATTTAAAAAATTAGATAAAATATTTGAAATTTTATATGTGTGACACTTGTCAGATAATAACCAAATTTAATAATTTTTACTGTTTGTTTTTAGCAAAAAATTCTTTAGACACTAAATCATATTTTTAATATATAGTTTAAGCACTAAAATGCTTATTAAGCTTTATATTTATTGCATTCCAAAACTTGAGTTAATAGATTTGGTAATTGAATCAATTCGAAAAACAAAACATAAGTGAACTTACTTTTACACAATTCACTTTAAGATCAAACATTAAATTAAGAATATAACTGTTAATATAGATATTTACAAAAATATAAAATATAAGTGAATCCTAAAAAAATATTAAAATTATAATTTTTATTAAAAAGATAATAATTAATTGATTATGTACAGACTCTTTAAAATATTCAGTACAATCGTCAAGTTGTTTAAACATCTTTAGAAATGAGAGATGAATCCTCTTTTGCAGTTTCACTTGAGTGATTAAATGTTAGTTCTAAGCCATCACCACCAATCATTGTTAAGATGTGATTGAATTACTTAGAAGTTTGTCAGTTTAATAAAATTAAAAGTAATTTATAAATTTACTTTTAAAACTTTATTCTTTTTCCTATTTCATTTATTGTATTTTTAATTTTTTTAATTTAATCATTCAACTTTATACATTAATTTTTTTATTACTTCGTGAATAACTTTATAATAGTATTATGACGTGATAACTTTTTTTAATCATCAAATTCTATGTCAGAAGAAAAGGAAAATAGTTAAAAATAGAAACCACAAAAGGCGATAATCCATATATATGGAACAGAGAAACCACATCTAAATAAACATTCTTTGAATTTGGATATCTGTACCGTGAAGCCTTGAATTTTACAAATAGCTCAATCGTTGCTATTAAGTTCCCATGAGTTAATACAACCCTTGCTAACACCTGTAGACTGTAGTACTTGATGAATACATTATCATTGCAGTCAGGGACAGATACATAATTTTATTATAGAGTGGGCGAACTTGAACTTATAAAATTTCAATGACGAAAACAGATTTTCAATAGAAAATACATATAAAAAATAAAATATATGATAATTTTAGATTTTTAAGGGTGCGACCGTCCCTACCCGCCCCTCCTAAGTACATTCCTGGTTGTAGCGTCTTTCTGCCTAATTATTGGCCTAGGCGCCTTACCAAATTGGCCCCCAATAAGCTCATGGAAAGGGTAAAAGAATTATATTTCTAAATCTAAATCTATGTTTTCTGGTACCCCAATCGCATGAACACCCGAGTTCCGAAGTTGGTCACTCTTTTCAAGTGAAGAAAAAGCAAAACGCACACCACAATTGGAAATTTGTTTCTTGATCTCAAGCATGCTACTTAGTGGATTAACGCTGCTAACAACAGCACTTAAATATGTAACACTCGAGAACATGATGGGGAAGTGAACAAAATTTGGCAACAAAAGCAAGACTAAATCACCTTGAAAAAACCCAGTTGGTGGAGATCAGAGGCAATGGATTGGACTAAAGGATAAAGCCTTGAATAAAGTCTTGGAAACCCAGATGAGTAATTGATCAAAGCAGTGACCCCATCACGTTGGTGAGAGAAAAGGAATGAAACAATATCAAGAAATGGATCAGTGGGAGAGCGTGTGAGTTTGGAAAAACTCGTGGGATGTCCTTGCATTCATATGAATCTGGGATAGTGGGGGTGTGAGGGTGAAAAATTCGGTCCATTTTTGGTGGCGGATTGCTTCATAACGGTGCAAGAGTAGATTTTATTGCTCTATTGAATTTTAAGTTGCACGATAAATCATAAAAGTTGGGAGATATCTCATATGATCTCCCTCATCTTCAATAGCTCATACGCCTTCCTTACTATTATTAGTATTATTGTTTAATGGAATTCGGCAACCACTAATTCCTCCTGAGAACCCTGATTCTCCTCCAACGGGACTCCATGTAATTGGAGGCACCTTCTTCTGCATAAACTCCAAATTTGAAGTAATGATAGTTTCCTCCGGCACCGGACCCGTCATATCTTAGAACGTCGTCAATGTAAACCTTGACATTGGAAGCACCCACGTTATGGATTACGTTCACTTTGAACCATCTGTTGTACGCATTTGAGAGCACCACCGGAGACCTGTAAACGGTGAGCGAGCCCTGGTAGACTCGGAGCATGACGGTAGTAGCACGAAAAGAACCACCAAAGACTTGCATCACCGACGTTGCAGTTGTTCCACTTGGGATATATGCCTCTCCCTCGAATTGCCAAACTCCGGAGGAATAGTCATAGCCCTTGGGGGCAAAAAACACCACTAAGATAAAGAAACCAGGCAGAAATAAACAAAATTAATTTTTTTTTAAATGACTGAATTTCTAACTCACTCGAATTCGGATTTCACAGCGTGGTCTAGTTTGGCTACTTGGGGTATGGGGCTTGTCTGTGGAATACACCCAGAATCTGTGGACGCCATTGTTGAAACTGTATCGGTCGCTTGGGGACAAATCATAAGGCTTTTGCAGCTCGAAATTTGACTGAGATAGAGGAACATCGGTAAACCCATTGGTAGGCTGGGCATTGGCCTGCATGCAAATCAACTGACTAAAACCCAGGCAAAGAATCGAGAAAAGAAGTGCAGAGTTGCCCATCTTATTTCTTAACAGAGCTGGAAAGGGAGATTGAAGTATACTTGGTTTGGATGTGCATATTCGTGTTATGTTCGGGGCATATTTATAGTGGCATGGGAATGAATTAGATTCATTGAATTTGAACTTTGAAGAGAAGTAGCCGACGCCAAGCCAAGTTGTATGACAAGGGAATTAAGTGACTGTCTAATGCATGAATTTTTTTTTTTGAAATGACCATCCAGCTCAGTTGGTAGAACACAAGGTTCTTAACCTTGAGGTCGTGGGATCGAGTCCTACGGAGGGCATTTCATAATTCGGAGGTCAGCTCTTACGGAAGCTGCTCTCAACCTGGTGTTGGGGGTAGCATACTATCTTACCTCTCTCTTACCCCATACATATAGGAAAAAGGGACAGCCATTTTTTCTAATGCATGAATTTTTCCATAAAAATCAGGTTTGAAGACTTATAATGTAGATTCATCAATGTTCGTTATGTTAGGAAAGCTAAGAGCAATAGGAAAAAAGTCAATCTTTTGAATTGATGCAGCTTGTCATAGTTTGAAGACAAACCATGCCTAAAAAATGAGGCAACTCATTACCTTGTTTTGCTTCTAGCTTTAGCTAACTTACTCGCCGCTAAGTTCGCTTTTCCGATGAAAGTTAGGTTTTTCTGATAAGTAAAGAAGAAAGGATTTTTGTTTGTATTCACAGTTTTCAAGGTTTTGTCTTAATTAATTTGGACCGAATTAGGTCTCGTACTTAACTTTGGTGGATGAGTCTACGAGGATTTTCTGCATATATAATAACTTGAACTTGAAACATGTTTAAACGATATCAATCTGTTAACTACTGGAACCAACCTCGTTAATAAAAAAGAATAGATTTAAAAGCATGTATTTAGAATTTCCTTAAAATGGTTTTTTTCTTTTATAATACATAATAAAACACTTTAATTTTACTTTTCTATTATCATCAATTAATAATACATTTTATATATTTAATTCATAATTGCCTTTCAAGAATATAATTAATTAATAATATAGTTAATATAGTTAATTTTTTCAAGAATCAAAATGACTAAAATGTCCTTCTAGGCCTAATTGATCGTGCCACTCCTGAAATATTGGTAGAGCGCAAGGCTCTTAACCTTGTGGTCGTTGGATCGAGTCTCACTATGGGCAATTCATAATTCTGACTGCCGGAGGTTTTCCACGGAAGCTGCTCTCAACCTGGCGTTGGGGCAGCCTACTACCTTACCTCTCCCTCACCCCATTACATATGGGAATAGGATCAGTTAATTTAATTTTAAGAAATTCGATTGTAAGCGTTCTTAAATACCGTTCTGAATATATTTGTATCCTAAATGATTCTCATGTATCAATTTTTGAATATCTGATTAGGCTCGTTAGCTATCATACCCTTTTAATCATCAAGTACCTCCACGAAATAAATTGGAACAGTTAGTGTTATGAAGTGTTATGAAGTCTTTACAGGTTTAGCTCTGATGAAGATTGTAATTCCTTATGTATTGGGCTATTTGTAGACTTTTAATAGAATACCCCAACAAAATCATTTGATCAGTAAACAAAAACATCATAAATCTGTTTGAATGATTTCAAATGTTGTTAACTATTTGTACACTTTACTTTGGTTTTGTTGGAACACACTTTTCTAATTGCGGCAGTTTTGTATTATTGATCTTTCTCGAAGCTCATTCCATTACTTATCATTTCAAGTTAAGAAGAATTGATCCTACGCAATTATCGACATCAGTACAAGAGTTCTTTCAGTGTCACTTGCAGAGTACGATACATATAATTAGGGGTACGTATATCACATTTGTTTTTATATCGAGTTTGAAACTTGTATGATGTTGTTTATGATTGGATTATGCTTTTAATATATGGATAATTTTTGAACTTGTATTTTTATTTATAAATTGTTTTATGATTTTAAATGGTTTAACAAAAAAGTTTCTAGGTTTTTATTATTGGTTGCTCCGATAACCCTAATGTGACATCTCATATTGAATCGAATCATCTGTATCGATATGAGGATGTTACATATCTTTGGTTTCTTTCTATAATGTATTAAAATATCAAAGTATTTAAATAAATTTTTAAGTTGACCAATTTAAATGAAACATATTTATTTTATTATGAATTAATTGACATGTTACCCTCAAATTATGCATATTTCTTTTCAATTTGGTAATTAACGTTTTTTTTATCAGAAGACTCCCTAAACTATATTATTAATTGACATGTTACCCTCAAATTTAATTGTACGCACTCCTAGTTTTAGCAGTCCCAAGCCATCCAAAGTTCATCTATTTTATCCTCTCCCTTAACACCATCGGAATCATAATATTTTAAACTTATTATACAAAACATCTGAGTAGTTCTTTAGCCATGAACTCCACCCTACTGCGACAAAGAGTTGGCAACATCGATCACGAAACGGTATCTGACATCGGATTTCGCAAGCCTTTCCATGGCGGTGTTGATTTCATCTATCCGAATCAGCTCGATGTCGGCAGCTATATCGTGCTTGGCACAAAAGTCCAGCATCTCCTGAGTTTCTTTCATCCCTCCAACATCACTTCCTCCTACAAGCTTCCGTCCTGTAGCCCAATATATACATGTACATAAATGTGTATGTTTTATGTTGAACTAAGACCAATAAATTGGAACACATATAGTAACTTATGAGAGATGAATCGAGATCGAAACGTACCGAAAACTAAAGGAAAAACAGGCAATTCTAGTGGCTTATTAGGCAATCCCACCGTGACCAGTTTTCCATTCACTTTCAGCAGACTAAGCAATGGAAGCAAGGGATGGGCTGCAGACACAGTGTCGATAATATAGTCCATGCTACCAATAGCTGACTGGAAAGTGCAAACAGTAAGCACAAACCAAGACATCAAAGACCACTTCAGTTCATCTAATTCTCAAGGTTGATTAATCCCATACCTTCATTTTTGCAGGATCACTGGAAACGAGGAACGAATCAGCTCCGAGTCTATTAATCGCTTCAGACTCCTTCTGTGGGGAGCTGCTAATGACAGTAACTTTCAACCCAAAGGCCTTAGCAATCTTCACCGCAACATGACCAAGCCCACCGAGTCCGGCAACACCGAGATGCTTTCCTGCCTTGGTCATTCCATAATATTTCATAGGGCTGTACACTGTGATCCCTGCACATAACAATGGTGCACCCGCATCGAGTGGCAAGTTATGGGGAAACTGTAGCACGTAGCGCTGGTCGACCACGATCATATCCGAATATCCACCGTAAGTTTTTGTCCCGTCTGGATTGAGAGAGTTGTAGGTGAATGTTATCTGAGGGCAATAGTTCTCCAGGTCCTGCTGGCAGCATTCACATGTCTTGCAGGAGCCAACCAAAACCCCAACACCAACCCGATCTCCGACTTTGAATTTCGTCACGTTTTTCCCTACTTTTGTAGCAACACCAGCAATTTCATGTCTGCAGGACAACACCGCATGCAAAATTTATGCACTACAGATTAGTATCATAGCTTAGTTTTACAATACATGTAGGTCTAAGTATCGTACCCAGGAACAACAGGGTAAGAGGTGACACCCAATTCATTTTTGAGAACATGCAGGTCTGAATGGCACACTCCACAATAAAGAATCTTTAAAGTGACATCCTCGTCACCGGTTTCCCTGCAAAAAAGAATTCAAAGAGAAACGATAGGCGTTATTATGGAGAAAGAAGAAGAGATGAGATGAATTAGTATCACCTTCTGGAGAAATTGAAAGGGGTGAGGGTCCCAGATTTATCAGTGGCAGCCAACCAAAAGCCTTTTGTTGCTTCTCTTCCTCTGCTGATTTCGACATTGCCTTCTTTTACTTTTGCTGTGATTTCGAGTGTGCAAAAACCAGAGGGAGAGTGACGAGATATATAACACGCCCTATTAACAAGAAGGGGAGGGGAGGGCGGGTGGTAGCACTTGCTCCTTCAAATTTTAAAATTATCTTAAATTTTAGATTTTTTTATGTATATTTATTAAAAAAATATATTTTCATTCTTATAAAATTTATAAATTTAAATTTATCCTCAACATAAAATCTTGAGTCAAATTTTAAAAAATATATATATTTACTCGTGCTTCGTTGGTGGGTGCATGTACTATTTTATTTTTTATTTTTTATTGATAATATTTTTTATTAAAATTAAATTTAAGATATTATATAAGTTTTTATATGATATTTAATTAATATTAGAATTGTATCACACACATTCAGTGACTGAAAATTACCATTTAGACTTAATAGTTTTATTAAATAGTTATATTTTAAAAAATTGTATCACACTCGAAGATTGAGTCATTATTAGCTACCCATGTGGGAATGGGCTATGGGATCCAGATAATGTGTGCAGTTTAAATCTTTAATGCAATTTTGAATGCACCATCCATCTTTGTCACTGCTTTTAATGCTATAATTTTTGTTCTACTATGATTTAATTTGCTGTTTTTTTATTTAAAAAAATGCATTATAGGCGGGATTCAATTTTCAAAGTGAGCTATGTTGGTAGGTTTGTTCATTTCTTTGAAATATAAGGATAATTTTTAATTATTTAACATTAAATGAATATGTTCCTAATATTTTTCATGCTTGAACACGAGATTTTAAAAAATAAAAACAATTCATTTACCATTTTAATAGTGCACATAAATGTAATTTTCGAGGGGAAAACTGGCTTCATTAGACACCCAACCCATAATATTTGGTTGTTGGGTTGGATCATTATGAATCTGTCAATATTTTCGATAGCATTTTACTGAATTTATTAATTATCTTATTAAATTTTTCATCACGTTATTTTTTAATCTTATATTAATATGTTTTTCATGAGAGAAACCTAAGAATGGCAACGGGGCGGATTTGGGGCGGGTTTTGCTCGCCCCGTCCCTGAACTCGAAATGAATCCCCATCCCCAACCACGACCCGATCCCTGATGGATTTTTTATCGGGGCGCCCCGTCGGAGATTTTTTTTGCCCCGTCCCCGAACCCGACCCGAAATATTAT